AAACTGCATTCAAAACTATTTACCAATAACTTTCCATCATGTTTAAAAAACTCCTTTTAACTACAGACCAATAAAAGCTTCAATCAAACCCTTTAGAAATTTCATCTTTTGAAATCTCACTGTTCCTTAAGCCTCTTAACCCAGTGGAAACATTGTGAAATTGATGGTATATCTGTCAATCAAGGAGGCCTAAGATCTAACAACAGGCTAATGGATTTCTGGACAATCAAACAGCTCCTTCAACAGCACCTTCTAATACCACTACCTCTATTACCTAGAAGGACAAGGGTAACAGTTGCATGGGAACATCAATTACATGCTTCTTTCTGAATCACACAGCATCCTGACATGAACTTCTTCATGGCTCCTGCAGCGACACCAGTCAAAATATTGGAAATTACCTCCTAACATGAATGCGAATGCACAGTGCACACTAAAAATGAACGAACTGTGTCAAACACTTTGATATGACGAGTATTGATCTGCTTTCCATAGTTAGACAATTAGACTATTTCTAATTTTGCTCAGTAGTAGCACACCTATTTTGGAATGCTACGGGTTCAAGTTTCACTCTGGCACATCAGTTTATAATCTAGATGACACAAACATGAATTAGGAGCAGAAGAATGCCACTCTGTCCATAAAGCCTGCTCTACTATTCAATAAAATCATGACCGATCTGTTTGTGTTCTGAATTCCACATTCCATCTATCCCGGATGCCTAACATAAATCTATTTGCCCCTGCCTTAAAAATATTTAGTGATCCCACCTCCACCAGTTTCTGAGGCAGTGTTCCAAAAGTTACACATTCCTGTGAGGAAAAAGAAATTACTCCTCGTCTGTTACATAGGTATCCCATAGTTCTGGACCCACCCACATCAGGAAATAACCTTTCTACTTCCACATTATAAGATCAGTCAAAATATTATACACTTCAAGGGAGTGACTTCTCACTCTTCTAAACTCCAACAGGAAGGAGCCTAGCCTGGCCAAAACATCCTCATAAGACAAGTCACTCACTCAAAATAGCAATCTAATAAACCTCCTCTGAACCACCTACAAGCTTCCTTCAACGAGGAGACTAAACTGCATATGTTCTCACCAATATGTTGCATAACTAAAGCATAATACTTTGATGTTCAACTGATTTCATAATGAATGATAGCATCCAATTAGCCATCTGATTACGAGCCATACCCTTTTGTGACTCATGCACTACAGCAGCTAGATCTCTCTGCATCTCGAATTCCATGGGCATTCTCAGTTTAAATAATACTCCACTCGTTTATGCTTCCTGCCAAAGTGGACAAGTCCACATTATACTCAACCTGCCAAAGTTTTGCCGATTCACTCAATCAACCAATCTGTTTAAATAAAAACTGAAAGAACTGCTGATGTTGTAAATCAGAGACAAAAAATAGAAATTGCTGGAAAAGCTCAGCAGATCTAGCAGCATTTGATTTCTCTCCAGAGTTAACATTTTGGGTCAAGTGACCCTTTCTCAGATGCTGCCAGACCTGCTGAGAATTTCCAGCATTTCTATTTTTATCAACCAATCTGTCCTGTTTAGATCAAGCTCAACATATTTTCCTATCTAATCTTACGTCATCAGCAAATTTTGCCACGATGCCTCTGATCCGCTTATCTATGTTATTGATATAAATTCAAAAGGTTGGCTAGATGCCACACAATCTGAAAAAGACTTATTTATGCATACTCATAATTATGCATAGGGTGGCATGGCGGCACAGTAGTTAGCACTTCTGCCTCACAGCACCAGGGACCCCGGGTTTGATTTTAGCCTTGGGTGACTGTGTGGAGTTTGCACGTTCTTTCCATGTCTGCATGTGTTTTGGCTGGGTGCTCCGATTTCCTCCCACGGTGCAAAGATGCGCAGGTTAGGTAGATTGACCACGCTACATTGCCCATATAGTGTCCAGAGATATGGCAACTATGTGGATTGGCCATAGTAAACGCAGGGTTACAGGAATAGAGTGGGGGTGGTGGTGGTGGTGGTGGTGGTTCTGGGTGGGGTACTTTTCAGAGGGTTGGTGCAGATTGGATTTCTGAACTTAAACAGCTCCTAAAACCTGAGGACCTTTTCATGTGGGACTTCATTAAATGCTTTCTGACAATCTAATTGCAGTAAATCAAGAGTATCCCCTTTACCCACTGTTTGATTGCTTCAAAGAATTCCTGTAAAGTTGAGTTTAAATTTCATCCAAACGCCATCTACAAGTTCGCTCATGACACCACTGTTGCAGGCTGGATATCAAACAATGACGAGTCAGAATACAGGAAGGAGATGGAATGCTTGGTGTCGTGGCGCAAAGATAACATCCCTTTCTCAATATCAGCAAAACTAAGAACTGGTCATTGACTTCAGGAAGAAAGGAAGAGGACACATCCCCGTCTACATCAATGGAGTGGAGGTGGAGAGGGTCGACAATTTCAAGTTCCTAGGAGTTACGATAACCAACAATTTGTCCTGGTCCTCCCATACAAACGTGATGGTCAAGGTGACACAACAATGCCTCTTCTTCCTCAGGAGGCTAAGGAAATTCAGCATGTCCATAACGACCCTCACCAACATTTACAGTTGCCCCACAGGAAGCATTCTATCTGGGGTGTATCACAGCTTGGTATAGCAACTGTTCTGCCCAGGACCATAAGACATGACAGAAAACTGTGAACACAGCCCAGATCATCATGCAAGCCAACCTCCCATCCATGGACTTCATCTACACTTCTGGTTGCTGCAGAAAGGTAGCAACATCAAGGAGCCCTCCCACCTCAGTTATACCCTTTTCCAACCACTTCCGTCCGGTAGAAGATACAGAAGCTTAAACACACGTGCCAACAGGTTCAAGAACAGCTTCTCCCTCGCCGTTATTAGACTCCTGAACAGACCTATCTAATTTCAAATTTAATATTGTGTACCTCCTGTGCAGCCGTAACCTTGTATGCCTTGCTCTGTCTAAATGCTCTATGATCTGTATGCCCTTGATGATATGATCTGCCTGTACTGTGTGCAAAGCAAAACTTTTCACTGTACTTCGGCACATGTGACAATAATAAATCAAATCAATCCATACAGAAGCATGCTGGCTACCTCAGTGCAGTACTGAATGTGTGTTACAGCACATTAGAACAGTTCAGCACAGGAACAGGCCCTTCAGTCCACCATGTTTGTGCTGACCATGATGCTATTCTAAACAAATCCCATGTGCACGCACATCGTCCGTATTCCTCTATTCTCTGCTTGTTCACGTATCTAAATGCCTCTTAAATGTTGCTATCATATCTGCTTCTATCACTCCCTGGTAGTGCCTCCAGGCAGCTACTACCCTCTGTGTAGAAAAAAATGCCCCCTGCACTTCTCCTTTAAACTTTCCCCCTTGCATCTTAAACCAATGCCCCTAGTAGCTGACATTTCCATGCTGCGAAAGAAACTCTGGACTATCCACGCTTCTCAATTTTATATCAGGCAGAGGAGCCATCTTTCGTATTAAACAATAAACAGCAACCCAGCTTCCACTTTCACACAGACATGAACATGGACACGGACATTTATGGCTGCACACGCATGCCTGCATGTGTACGCACACGCTCTACATGTGCGTGTGTGGGGTGTCTCCTGTAAAATCTATTATCCCCAACCAATTCAATGTTAAACAGATTAAATTATTTTACTTCTCTTGCACTTGTTATAATTGGCTCTGTGCGAATTGGCTGCTTAGTGTTTACAAATGAGTGATGACATTTCATTTTATTCATTGGCTATACAATGCCTGACATCATAAAAGTTTTCTCTTATGCATCCTGGGCAAAGGATGCATAATGGTTTCAAAACTGCATCGAAGTTGCTCTACATTTATAACTCTGCAAGAGAGTGTGTAGGCATCATTGGCAAGGTCAGCAATTATTGTCCATTACTAAAGATCCTCAAAGTGGCGATGGTGAGTCTTCATCTTGAATTACTATGATCCTGCGCTGTAGATGTGTCAGTACCACTGGGGAGAAAACTCCACAATTATGTGCCACAATCAAAATTTTTCCGTCTTTCCTTGCTCAAATTAGTAGGGAAATGTCAACATGTTTCATACTCAAAACCTACTACAATTGTGTTACAGGGTCTTCTTCCACTGCTGAATAACAGAAGTAGTGAACAACGATCGTGTAGTTTCCATCTCCATAAGTCATCCAACTCCACGTGCCTCAGTTCATCCTTGGCTCATTATACCTGCTTACCAGTCCAATGAACTCCTAACCAGCCTCTGCATTCTCTCCTTTAAAACTCGAGGGCACCCAAAACTCTGTCCCATTTCCCCATGTGCTCACGTAACTGACATTTGCTTCAGATTATGCTACACTATTTTAAAACTCTCATCCCATTTTCAAACCCAGTCAGGATCTGAACCTCTTTAAAGGCCTTTCTGCCGTACAAACATTGGAGATCTGCACACTTCCAAAACACTGCACCCAAGCATCCTGGATTTTAATCACTTTACTACTGTAGACCATGATTTCAGTTGTTCAAGTCGTAAGCTCTGGTACTCACTCCTTACACTTTTTAGAAGATCTCTTTTTCCTCTTTTATGACCCTTTTCAAGATTTTGATCATCAGCCAATGTCTTGGTGCGGCTCAATGTTAAATTTAGCTTGATGACAATTCACTGAAGTACCTTTAAAACATTTTACCATATTAAAAACACTAAAGTAAATTGTTTTTTGATCTGCTGCAGTGAATAAAACATTCCGAATACTGAAAACTCATTTAAACTTCAACATACTGTGCAATCAACCTTGATACATGCTGCTAAAACCAATACAGAACGTGCATTAAGTTAATTATTTTGAGCAACTCAAAGTCAAACTGAAATGCAAAGTTTCAAAGTGAGCATTATTCAATATATAGTGGCAATTAAATTTCCTAGTGCAAATCTTTCCCTCTATTATTGACACTGTCTAAATCAAAGCAAGAATGAACAGATCATACCTTGTTACCTTCTTCTTTAATGTCAGAATTTATAATTTTAATAAAGGCATAGAAGAACTGTCGAATTCTGGAATCTCCTACAAAAGCTATGTATTTGTTCAGCAGACAGTTCTTTACTTCACTGAAAAAAGAAAAAAAAATGTGAAAAGTTAAACGGAGAAGTAATAAAAATTAGGACATTTGATTACAACACATACATCCATTTTTCCTATTCACCCTCTCAGTCTTATCGTTAGCAACTCCTTTGTCTGTCCAACTGTCTTGCTCTCTCTTTGGGCTCTATCTTATCGTTTACTCCCTACCCTACCCACCTTCCTATTTTCTGCATATAAACTGACGTTTTCCTAGCCACCATCAGTTCTGAGGAAGGGTCACCGGACCCGAAACGTTAACTCCGTTTTCTCCTCCACAGATGCTGCCAGACCTGCTGAGCTTTTCCAGCAACTTTGTTCTTGTTCCTGATTTACAGCATCTGCAGTTCTTTTGGTTTTCATCCATTTTTCCTGTTATACTTGAAGTGTCACAACATTTCTGTCTTAGGTGGCCATGTAAACACTATGTGGAGCAGTTAAGTGTTTAGAAGCTGTACTAGATAGAAAAGCTAAAAATAAATATTTTCTGTGAGCACGTCAACAGCAAGTTAACCAATACAAAGATAGTACTGCTAGCAGCAAAGGAGACAAAGCTGGTTAACAAAGGAAGTGAAAATTGTTGCAGGATTAAAAGAAAGGGCCTCATAAGGTTGCCAGCAAAAAGAGTTAAATTGAGAATTAAGAAGATTTTAGAACACAGCAAGAAAAAGGACCAAAATACTGATAAGGAAATGGACAGTAGTACAAATATTAACTAGCAAATCAGAAATATGGACAATAATACTTCCAACAGATATGCAAAAAATTTTCATTTACTTAAGACAAATGTGGGACCACGACAGACAGAATCAGAAGAATTTGTAATGGGCAAATAAATGGAAGAGAAACAAAATAATTGTGTCTGCTTTCACTGGAGAACTTAGAAGAAATCTCTCTGAATTAGAGGTCCAAGAGCCTGGCCAGAATCAAGATTTGAAGGAAAGGAATATTACTAAGAAGTTTGCATTGGAAAAATTAATGGGACTCAAGACCAATAAGCCCCTGACATTCCACAACCCAGAGAACTGAAAGAGATAGCTATGAAGATAATGAATATATGGGGATCATCAAAAGTTTTCCAGATTTTGTAACTGTTTCCGCAGATTGTGAGATAGCAAACGTCACCTCACTATTTAAGAAGGGACAGAGAGAAAACAGAGAACTACAAACCTGTTAGCTTTGTATCAGTGATAGGGAAATGGATAGAACCTGTTGTAAAAGATGTGATGTGATAAATGACCAATTAGATAAGTAATGATCTGATGGGGCACAGTCAACATGGATTGCTGAATGAGAAGTTGTGTGCTGTTTGACAAAACTGTTGGGAGTGTTTTTAAGAATGTTACTAACAGAACCAAGTGTCAGTGGACAGAGCAAACTTAGATTTTTAGAAAGCTTTTTAATAAAGTCTCCACAAGAGGTTAGTTAGCAAAAGTGAAGCACATGGGATAAGGGGTAATAAACAAGTGTGGATTAAGGATTGGCTAATATGTAGAAAACAGTAGGAATAACTCAGTCACTCTCAATTTGGCAGCATTTGATTAGCAAATTGGTAGTTCAATCCTAGCTGTTCATAATATGTATCAATGGTTTGAATGTGGAGACTAAATACAATACTTCCAAGTTTGGAATGACACAAAACTAGGTGGGAATGTCTCCTGCAAGAAAGATGCAAAGTGGATTGAAGAGGATTTCGATAGGCTGAGGTGAGTGGGCAAGAACACAAGAGATGAAATATCATATGGAAAAAAAAAGATCATCTGGGAAGAACACGTGTGCAGACCATTTCTGAAATGGCACTGGTTAGAAAGTTTAGCACAAAGGGACCTGGGTGTTAACAGTCACTGAAAATTAACACATAGGTGCAGCAGATAATGAAGATAAATTGCACGCAAGCCTTTATCACAAGAGGATTTCAGAATAGGAACAGCAAAGTTTTCCTTTGATTGCACAGGAAAATAAAGCAAAGAACTATGGATGCTGGAAATCTGAAACAAAGGCAGAAATTACTATAAAAACTCAGCAGGTCTGGTAGCATCTGTGGAGAGAAAGCAGAGTTAATGATGAGTCCAGTGACCATTCTGCAAAACTGAATCCAGATAGGGGGAGGAAGCGTGGGAGGAAGAGCGAAAGGACAGCAAGCAAGGAAGTGGAGAATGGTTCAGCAAACAAAGATTGCTGAAGACAAGCTGAAAAAGAGAATCGGTTGGAGGGTGCTAACTAGAAATAAAATGTTTGAAAATGGGTTTGCTGCCTTGGGAGCAATCCACACACAATGGAATGCAAGTGTTTGGGGGAAGGTAATGAACAAGGAAGAGTGGGTTCACATTCTGAAACTGTTAAGCGCAATGTCGAGTCCTGAGGGCTATCAGGTACCTAGGCGGAAGATGGGGTGTTGTTCCTTCATCCAGTTCACGTTATGCCTTGCTGGAACACTGCAGTAGGCCTTAGACAGAAACATTAGCGTGGGAAAATGGTTGAGTGTTGTATTGGCAATCAACTGAAGCTTGGGGTCATTTTTACAGACTGAGCATAGTTGTTCCTCAAAATGGTCACCTACTGTTTCATCCCCCCCGTTATAGAGGAGACTGAACTTTGAATGGTGTATACAATACACTCGACTGAATAAAGTGCAGGTAAATTGCTGCTTCATCTGCAAGTTGTTTCTGCAGCATGGATAGTGAGGAGGGAGCTGGTAAATGGGCAAGTACTGCACCTTCTGCACTTGCGTGGAAGGGGCCGTAGGAGTATGGGGAGGTGTTGGCCAAAGTGCCCCAGAGGGAATAGTCCCTGCAGAATGCCGAAAAGGGAAGGGAGAGGAATATATGTATGGCATCCCACTGAAGGTGTTGGAAATGCTGGCTCGTCATCCTTTGGAGACTGATAAAGTGGAAAGTGAGAACTGGGGTACCCTATCTTTGTTGGAAAGAGAGGAGGGGAGAGAATGGGTGAGGGCATCAATGCAGGAAATGGGTTGAACACAGCTGAGGACACTGTCAAACGCTGTAAAGGAATCCTTGGTGGACATTTCTGACATTATCCTACAAAAAGTGGCATTATCAAAACACATGTGACTGAGATGGAGGTACCAGTAGAATGGGATGGAGTCCTTACAGGAGACAGGGTGAGAGGATTTACAGTCGTTAACTGTAGGAAACACTAGGTTTGTAATGGATTTCAATGGCTAAACTATCCCCAGAAGTAGAAAAAGAGATGTCAAAGAAATGAAGGGAGGAGTCAGAAATGGACCAGACTTGGGGCGGCACAGTGGCTCACTGCTGCCTCACAGCACCAAGGACCCAGGTTCGATTCCACCCTTGGGCAACCGTCTGTGTGGAGTTTACACATTCTCCCCGTGTCTGCGTGGGTTTGCTCTGGGTGCTGCGGTTTCCTCCCACAATCCAAAAAAATGTGCAGGCTAGGTGTGGATTGGCCATGAAAAATTGCCCATAGTGTAGAGGGATATGTAGATTAGGTGGGTTATAGAGGGATGGGTCTGGGTGGGATGCTCTGAGAGTCGGTGTGGACTTGTTGGGCTGAAGGGCCTGTTTCCACACTGTACGGATTCTATGATTCTATAAAAAAGTGACAGCAGGGTGGAAATTAGAAGCAAAATTGATCACTTTTGCCACACCAATTATGTTGTTGATGTACCAGAGAAGGATAGGGTTCCAGGTAGGACTGGAACAAAGAATGTGTCACTTAAATGGGGTTGTCACCACACTTTGACCTGAAGAAAATGAGAACTGTTGGTCAAAGTGAGGGCAAAGCTTTGCTAGGCAGAAGAGAGTTGTGGTAGATGGGAACAGGTTCGGCCTATACTCAAGGAAGAATACAGTATTTTGCCTTAGGTTTCTACAAAGGTTGGAGATATTAGAATTGCAGAACCAACAGAACTTAGGAAGTTATTCCAAGTGAATTAGCACCAAAGCAAGTTTTTCTAAATCCACACAGGTCACCCCAGTGACTTGAATTAGCTTACATTTAGAATCCGGAAGGAAACCAGAGAAGAAATCCTCCCGGATCAGATTAAAATTTTCTCTCTTCAAATATGAGAAGGGGACAAAACAGAAAATTATAGACCAATAAATCTCACTGAAACTACTAATGCAATAATAAAGTCTGTATGAAATTACTAGGCACTTTGTAATAGTTAATCAGAGCCACTCAGCATAGATTGCTAAAAGTCAGGTTCTGATTGATTACCTTCAGATCTCTCAGCAGAAAAAGAAATTGCAAAAAGGCTAATAATTAGACATGGATTTTCAAAAACATCTTTCAAGTATTTGCCAGTTAAGAACAATACACCTTCTCTCAAAAGAGCTAATCTTTGTAAAAACAACTCTCAATATTTCTGAGCTAAATACCAGAGGATGACTAAACAAGTTCAAAATGGTGGGGTACTGGTAATGTGACTAGGCTCACAATCTAGAGGCTCAGGCTGAATGCTACAGCAGTTTAAGTCCAATTCCTTCTGGTGGAATTTAAAGTTCAAATTAATAAAAGTCTGGAATTGAAAACCAGTTTAGGAGATGTAACTATCAAGTTTGTTGTTAAAAATTAGTTAAAGTACTTTGCAAAAGGAGGAAACAGGGAATGTGAAAAAAAACTGTGGTGACACAGCAAATGGTTAGAGTCTGGAATGCACTGCCTGGGTATGTGGTGAATGCAAGTTTAATGTGGAAATTCAAGGAGACATTAGATGATTATTTAAATAGAGACAGTGCGCAGGGGTAAGGGAAACAGGTAGGAGATTGGCAGTAAACCAAAATGTTCAGAGCAGGCACATGTGCCAAATGGCCTCCTTCTGCATCATAATAATTCAGTGATTCTGTGAAAATCCATCTGATTCATTAACGTCCTTCAGGGAAGGAATTCTGCCATCCTTACTTGGTCTAGCTTACATGGTGACAGATCCACAGTGATGTAGTTGACTCTTAACTGCATCAAATGACCTAGCAAGACACCCTGTTCAAGGGCAATTTGGGATGGGCAACAAGTGCTGGCCTCACCTGCAATACTCCTATCCCATGAACATTTGTCCCTAAGCTCTGGGAGGTCAGAAAGGTGATTTGAAAGTGATGCATTGACTCGTATGAGGTCAATTGGAGCAGGGGCAGTGAGAGTAGAATCAAAACAGGTCAATACATTGAATATTAAAACAAAAGGATTAAAAAGGGATAACTACAATCTTAGATGTAATAGCTGTATTTAAATAACGGATCCATCATCAAGAACAAGCGTCAAGATGATAAAAGACAAACTTGTGACAGAGCTAGGGTTACAACTCAAAGCAGACTACAGCCAGTGAAATACTTTAAATGTAGTCACTGTAATGCAGGATGAGTGGCTGTAAAATTGCACAGTATACTCCCACAAATAGCAGTGATAATGACTGGACAATCTGATTTTGTGATGTTAATCAAGGGAAAATATTCGTCAGCATAAGGGGATCATTCTTCACTCCTTGTAAGAGGAGTGCCATGACGTCTTTTTACAGAAGCAATTAAATGGGACCTCTGTTTAACATCTCATCACAAAACAGCACCTCAATACTCACTGGAATGAAAATTTTGATTTTTATATTAAAATTTAGAGTAGGAATTGGCCTAGAATGGAATCCCAGGGAAAGCACCAACTTAACTGTACAATCACATTCTAGAAAACCGTGATTAACACAGTTTCAGATGACAAAGACTGATTCAACATAAGAGTTGAAAAGCAGAAAATTACGACTAAAATCTTAGCTTTTAGCAAACTGACATTATCAAAATAAAGAACAGACCAATAACGATACTGTCTGTAACCTGTCAGTTGAAAGTACTGATGAACAGTGGGAGGTGTTCTGAAATCAATTTACTTTATTTCAGGATCGTATGTACCTGTAGGTGGGAGACTTCCACCTGCCAATTATGAGGAACACGGTTGAAAAATGTGAGACGTCATGAAATTTTTTTAAAAAGGCAAGAGCATAGAACAGTATAAAAGCAGAAGATATCCAGGGACTTGGGAGAAATACAAGTTTTCAAAATTATATTAGAAGAAAGAGTACCTAAGATATGGTGTGTCCATTTGAAAACTGATGATGCAATTAAAAGTGTTCAAAAAGATTAAAAAAATTAATTGGGCACAGTAAAATAGTCTGTACTGTACAGTAAACCAAAAATGTGAATAATTTAGTGCAGTGTAGATACAATATACAATACACAATCATTTTGGACTTGCATGTTAAGACTCCACTTTTGCAACTAAGTAATCACAGTTAACAAATCTGATAAATGACAAAATTAAACTGGGGCAAATGTAAATAGCTAAAGGATAAAGAAAGTAAAGTAATGAGGGGGCAAGAAATATTTGAGAAAACAAAACTTGCAAGGGATATTAAAATTAACAGCAACCATTTTCAAATATATTGAGGAAAAATGATAGAGAAATGTGGACAAGGAAAACCAGATGCAGGCAAGATTGTAACAGGCAAGGAGGATATAAAGACATGCTAAATGAGTATTTGATATTCTTTTTCACAGTATGAAAATGAGACAAAATGCCAAATGTAAAAGCGAACATGAATCTAATCGAAAAGGAAGAACTTAGTAGATGTAATTTTAGTAAAAACATTATAATGGAAAAAACACTCGGATGTAAGATGACAAATCTCAAGGCCCGGCAGCATAGTGAAGAAAAAAAATCAGAGTTGATGTTTCATGTCCAGTGACCCTTCCTCAGAACTGATGGTAGCTGGGAAAATGTCTGTTTGTAAGCAGAAAATGGGGAGGGGGATAGGGTTTGGAGTTATCGATAGGATAAAGGATAGAGCCCAAAGAGAGAGAAGAGCAGTTGGATAGACTCTATCCTTTACCCTATCGTTCACTCCCTACCCTAACCTCCTTCCTAGTTTCTGCACGTAAACCGATGTTTTCCCAGCTACCACCAGTTCCGAGGGTCACCAGACCTGAAACGTTAACTGACTCTTTTCTTCACAGATGCCGCCAGACCTGCTGAGCTTTTCCAGCAACTTCTGTTTTTGTTCCTGATTTACAGCATCCGCAGTTCTTTCAGTTTTTAAATCTCAAGGCCTAATAGATTCCGATAGATTACGAGAAAAAGCAGGTTAGTAAATTACGGTCATTTAGTCATAATATTCTAAAATTGTTCTTTTTTTTTTCCATTCATTCATTGAATGTGACTCAGCCAGCATTTATTGCCCATTCTGAATTGCCCTGTAGCTGGCGGAGGTAAGCTAAATTTTTGAACTGTTGCGGTCCTTGGTTGTAGGGACACCAACGATATTGTTAGGAAAGAAGTTCCAAGATTTTAACTTGGTAACACCCTGATTTAGTTGGAGGAGAAATCACTCATTTGACAAATTAAAATAAAAAAGTAGTAAAAGTAGTGAAGCACTGGTAACTTAAATATTACACGTTAATTTTCACTGCTTTTGTATCAGCTTTTAAAAGCACTTGCCACAAGTGAGGAAACAAATCAAATATGGAACAACTTTCCCGTTTTTACTGTCTAGTCCTGCTAGAATTTTATAGATTTGTCTGAGACTCTACCCATCATTCTTCAAAGTTTCAGTAAATAGAGTCATAACCAATCCAGTCTCTCTTCCTAAGTCAGTCCTGTCATCTCAGGAATCTGTCAGGTAAACCTTCTTTGCACTCCCTCCTCAGTTAGATCATCTCTCCTTAGATGAGGAGGAAACTAAAACTACACACAATATTCCACACACATGTTCTGAGGAAGGGTCACCAGACCAGAAATCCCGTTGTGGCCTCCTCTAAATCGGGGAAACGAGGCAGAGGCTTGGGAACCACTTTGCAGAACACCTACACTCGGTTCGCAATAAACAACTGCACCTCCCAGTCGCGAACCATTTCAACTCCCCCTCGCATTCCTCAGACGACATGTCCATCCTGGGCCTCCTGCAGTGCCACAACGATGCCACCTGAAGGTTGCAGGAACAGCAACTCATATTCGCTTGGGAACCCTGCAGCCCAATGGTATCTATGTAGATTTCACAAGCTTCAAAATCTCTCCTCCCCCTACCGCATCCCAAAACCAGCCAAGCTCGTCCCCGCCTCCCTAACCTGTTCTTCCTCCCACCTATCGCCGCACCCCCATTTCCTACCTACTAACCTCATCCCACTCCCTTGACCTGTCCGTCGTCCCTGGAATGACCTATCTCCTCCCTACCTCCCCACCTACACTCACCTTTACTGGCTCCATCCCCGCCTCTTTGACCTGTCTGTTTCCTTTCCACCTATCTTCTCCTCTATCCATCTTCTATCCGCCTCCCCCTCTCTCCCTATTTATTTCAGAACCCCCTTCCCCTCCCCGATTTCTGATGAAGGGTCTAGGCCCGAAACGTCAGCCTTCCTGCTCCTATGATGCTGCTTGGCCTGCTGTGTTCATCCAGCTCTACACCTTGTTATATCCGAAACATTAACTCTGATTTTTCCTCACAGATGCTGCGAGCTTTGCTGAGCTTTCCCAGAAACTTCTGTTTTCATTCCTGATTTACAGCATCTACAGTTCTTTTGGATTTTACACGTATGGTCCCACCAAGTTCCTGTACAATTGCAGCAAGACATCCTCCTCCTGTACTCAAATCCACTTGCTATGAAGACCAACACATCATTTCCCTTCTTCACAGCTTCTTACTTTCAGCAGTGTACAAGGACACCTAGGTCTTATTTCTCCTTCTCCATAATCTCTCACCATTCAGTTAATAATCTGCCTTCCTGCTTTTGCCAAAGTGGATGACCTCACATTTATCCACATTATACTTCATCTGCCATGCAGATGAGCTGGGTAACTAAAGATACCGCATCCGCTTTACTTGTGCTAATACCTTGCTTTACTTGTTATAAACTGCAGAAATTCATGTAAATTCAAGTACAATAATGACCCTGGCAATTATTTTAATCACTTGCCTGATTTTGTATTTATGCATCATGCAGCCATTAGGTTGCCAAACATTTTCACCAAGGAATCGGCCACTAGATAGGAGCCACTCACAGGTATCGCCACCTAGATGGAGATGATCACAGAATAAGAAGAAATCTGTCATGAAGATGTTCACTAAACACAACTGAAAAAGAATCAAACAGCAACTGGGTGCAAAGAGATTGAAAGTGGCAAAACAATTTAACTTTTTGGACAGCATGAGACTCATTCGTGCAACACCTAGCTACATGATTTAAATTTTGTCTATCCATGTCTACCAGGGGGCATTTTAAAGAAAAAAAAACAAATATTTATCAAATTCAGCTTTAACAAGGTCATGAAATCCCACACAAACTAAAACAAAGAACCACAATTGCTGGAAATTGGAAACAAAAGCAGAAATTGCTGAAGACACTCAGCAGGTCTGGCAGCATCTGTGGAGAGAAAGCACAGTTAACTTTCAAGTCCAGTGACCCTTCTTTAGAACTGACACACAAACTAGACCTGTATACAGCATAAGCGCTTAAAAAAAAAAATCACAGGATGCAAGTGTCACTAGCACGGCCAGAATTTATTTCTCATCCCTAACTGGCCCTTGAAGAGGTGATGATGAGCTAACCTCCAAGTCCATGTGATGTAGGATCATCCAGACTGCCTTCCATGATTTTTACCAAGTGATAATGAAGGAACGGTAATGGAACGCTAAGTCATATTGTGCATTGTTTGAAGGGACGTATACAGATGACATTGCCATTCTCCTACTGTCTTTATTCTTCCAGATGGTAGACGTCATGGGTTGGAAAGTGCTGCTGAAAGGATCTGAGTTTTTGCAACACATCCTGTACAAGGTTCCCAATACATACCAAGTAGAATTGTGTAATTTTAGGACGGTAGATGCAATTTCAATGCAGCAGACTGTTATGTCCTAGTTCGTGTCAAACTTCTTGAATGCTGTTGCACTCATCAAGGCAGCTTGATTCTATCACATTCCTAATTTAAACCATGTTGTAAGCAATCTATGGGAACATGGGAGATAGTCTACAGAATTCCCAGTTTCTGACCTGCTCTTACAGCCAAAGTATTTAGCTTGGTCCAAATGCAAGTTGGTAATCATTTTGTGGAACACCTCAGTTCAGTCTGAAAATATTAATAGAATAGAATCCCTACAGTGGGGGAACAGGCCATTTGACCCAACAAGTCCACATCGACCCTCCAAAGAGCATCCCAACCAGACCCAAACCGCCTACCCTATCACTGTAACCCTGCACATCCCATGACTAAACTACCTAGCCTGCCCATCCCCGAACACCACGGGCAATTTAGCATGACCAATCCGCCTAAACTGCACATCTTTTACTGTGGGAGGAAACTGGAGCACCCGGAGGAAACCCACACAGACACAGGGAGAATGTGCAAACTCCACACAGGCAGTTGCCTGAGGCTGGAACTGAACCCAGTTCCTTGGCGCTGTGAAGCAGCAGTGTTAACCACTTTTCACTCGGAGGGAGGTATGGGCTGTTCCTTCATTAGAGGGAGGGATAGCCTGTACTGAATTTAATAGGAGGGTCACCATGCCTCAGGCAACAGGAAAGGTTGAGAAGGCAGGACCTTCATGATGACCTCCACTGGTAAGGGAATTGAACCCATGCTGTTAGCATCACTCAATCGCAAACGAGCAGTCCAGTCAATTGAGGGTAAGCAATCAGCTAAGCTACCAGCTGCAAAACATTTCAATTCTGTACCTCATTCGAGGTTAATTCTCTGTCTTCTCATGACTACAGCATTCTAATGGAGCTCAGCTCAAGCTTTAGAAATTGCACCTCACATTTCAGTCAGACACTTTACAACCTTCTGGACTCTGTGTAGCAATGTTGAACTCTTGAACTAATCTTTGCTATCACAGTTTGCTTCCAAGTTTCAGAAGTGAAATTAGTAGTTTGAAACGGCACAACAGGGTGCAAGTGAGCCTTTAAGCACACACGGCTTAATACAGCTATGTTTTCAGTCTGTAGAACAAACATGTTCTGAGAAAAGTCAATTGTGACTCCACAAGAAAGTAGTTAAGTGATTGGATGATGAGTATTTTGCTCAATTATTTTTCAAAATTAATGTAATTCATTAGGAATAAACTTTTATGAATAGTAGTAAAGCTAATTTGAACTAATAGAGTTAATTTGGAATAAACCCTAATTTGCACATACAGAAGATGTGCGATCAGGTGAGTTATTGCATAGTTTGCAGACTTTGGAGAATGCAAGTGGGGGTTACAGAGTAGATGAACAAACAGATCATGGCACTGTGGTACGCAAAGTCACTCAAGCAAGGGAGGGTGCTAACAAATACATAGTGGTAGAGTCAAAGAGTAATATAGGCCCTTCGACCCAAACTGGTCCATGCAGATCATGGTGTCCATTAGCTAGTTCCAAATACTCACATTTAGACCATATCCCTCTAAACCATTCCTATCCATGTACCTATCCAAATGCTTTTTTTAAAGGTTGCTATTGTACCTGCTGCAACCATTTTCTCTGGCAGCCCATTTCATATACACAGCACTCTCTGCGTGAAGAAGTTGTCCCTCATGTCTTTCTTAAATCTATCCCCTCTCACCTTAAACCTATGCCCTCTACTTTTTAATTCCCCATCCTGGGAAAAAAAAAAATCTATATGCATTCATCCTATCTATGGCCCTCATAATTTTATACATCTCAATAAGGTTGCCCCTCATTCTCCTATATTCCAAGGAATAACCTCCTATCCTGGCCAACCTCTCCCTGTAACACAGGCCTACTAGTCCTGGCAACAGCCTCAAAAATCTTTTGTGCACGCTTTCCAGTTTAACTATGTCTTTCCTATAACAAAGTGACCAAAACTGTACACAATACTCCAAGTGCAGCCTCACCAACGACTTATCCAACTGGAACATAACGTCCACCTCCATACTCAACACCTCGACCAATGAAGGCCAGCATGCTAAATGCCATCACTTTCTGGTAGTCGGGGGATAGCACTGTCAGGGTAATAGACAGTTCTCTGCTGTTAAGGGCAGAGTCCAGTGGTTTTGTTGCCTGCCTGGTACCAGAATTGTTCTGAGATGATGAGAAACTTACAATGGGATGGGGAAGATCTAGATGTCATGGTCAATGTAGGTAAAAATAATGTAACCAAGAACAGAATAGTAGTTCTGCTTTGGGAGTACAAGCAGCTAGAAGCTAATTTAAAAAAGCAAAACCTTAGAAAGAGAATGATCTCTGGATTTTTATCTGAACCATGAGCTTGTTGTCACAAGGTACAAATGATTAGGGAGTTGAATATGCAACTCAAAAGATTGGTGTGGAAAAGTGAGCTGCCATTCATAGGCACTACCATCAGTTCTAAAGAAAAAGAGAGCTGTATCATTGGATAGTCTTCAATTGAACTGCATTGGGCCCAGTAATCCACTCAGTCATAATTAGGGCAGTAGAGAAGGCTTTTAACTAAATTGTGGGGAATTTAAAACATGGATCAAAATGAAGGAAGATGTCAAGATGTCATTAACTGTAAAGAGAGGGGATGACGTAGTGGTGTTATCATTGAACTATTAATCCAGGCTCCCAAGTAGTGTTCTGTAGTCCCAGGTTTGAATCCCACATGGCACATTATGCAGTTTGATTTCAATAAAAATCTGGAATTAAGATTTTATTGATGACTATGAAATTGTTATCAATTGTCAGAGAAAACAATCTGGTTCCTTTAAGGAAGGACACTTACCTGTCTGACCTAAATGTTACTCTAAACCCACAGCAATGCAGTTACCTCAAGTGCCTTCTCAGCAATTAGGGGTGGGCATCAAATGCTGGTGACGACCACATCCCTATTTAAAATTAAAAGACAAGAGCAAGGCAGCAATAATCAGAAAGTGGACCAGAATATTTAAAGGTCCATGATATTTGAAAGGACAGGCAACTGGGAAAATGTGAAGAACAGCCTTGTTAATTGAGGATGAAATTAGCTTTAAAGTCAAGATGTAGAATTAGTTTGAATAGTGGTGGAAGAAACAGTAAAAAAGTCAGAAATCAATTGTGGAAGCAATTGTACGTCTCCGCCACAGTATCCACAGGCCTGAGAAAAAAAAAGGTACAGAAATGGCCATGAGTGATTTTGACCTACATAAATACATTGGACAAAAATCAGTTTGGTGAAGATATATGGATACTCATGGAGTATCTTTAAGACTGTGTTTTAGAACAGCATATTTTATATCCAACCAGATAGCAGGCTATTTAAAATGCAGTAATAGGCAACAAGACTGGATTAATTAATTGAAACATAGTAAAGGTGCCCCTATGATTTGGTGGCAGGTTATTCTTTTGAAAAAAAGAACACCCTAAAGTAGCAACAATCTTAACATTATTGAATTTTGCATTCAATTTGAGGGAAAGAAGAGTTGTTTAAGGTTTGTCCTTTCAATCTGAATAAGGGCAATTATGAAGGTTATGAGACAGAGGTGGCTAAAGTTAAATGCCAGAAGTTAAAAAGGTAAGTTCGCATGCCTAACTGCCTCAAAATGCACTGCTTTTAATTTTGCAGAATTTTCCTAGATTCTGAGTCCAATCAAATCAGAAAATAGCAAAATGCAACTCCTCTATTCAGGAAAGGAGGAAACAGAAAGCACTGAATTATAGGCCTGTTAGCTTAATATCTGTCACATGGAAAATTCTGGACTCCATTAATTAAATTAACTGACAGGAAGCCATTGGTAGAATGAAGTTTTTCTTGGGGTTGACAAGATAGCAGTGGACTTCCTGAGATTAATGCTGGGACCTTAATATTTATAATTAATACCAATGCTTTGAGTGAAAAAGACCAAATATACAGTTGCTACATTTGTTGATCCAAAGATAGGTAGGAATTGTTATGACAAGGATATTGCAGTCCTCATAAAGGATAGGTTGAGTAGCAAAGGTTTGACAGATGGTGTCTCATGTGAGAAAGCATGAACTGGTTTACGTTTGCGGAAAATAACAGAAAAACAACATATTTAAATGGAGGGTAGGTGTAGAAACTCTAAGGTAAAGAGAGATCCAGGTGTCCTGGCACACTAA